CTTGATCATTTCGTTTAAACAAATTCGTATTATTGCCTTAGTTTACAGTATATCTTTATGGTGTATTTTATATACATATTGTTTTTTTAGATATAGTCAGCAATTTTTTTCCAGCTCTTAACTGTTTTAAAGGGCTCTGCAAGTAAACTTTAACTTTACATTGGAGAAATTTACCTTTGAATTTAACCCATCCCCTTGGGGAGCAGTGGGATGCCATTGTGTGGCGCCCAGGGAGCAATCGGCAGTTAAGGGTTTTCACTCAGGAACCCACAGTGGAGACAGTGGGGATCGATCCGGGTACTTGCAACCTTCTCAGAGCAGAAGTGCACTGGTCTAACCCACTAGGCCAACACGCAATCTACAGATTTGTAACGATTCTTGACAACAAATGTTCCTTCAGACAATATCTAGCTAGCAACAGACATGATCATTTTCAACAGCCACTGCAGAGTGCAATAAAATACAGTGTCAACTGAAGTTAAACATTGTTTTAAAATGATGTAGTAATACCTTATTCTTAAAGACTTCCTCCATAGCAAAGGGACTTCAAAAACTCCTTGTATAAATAGCTGATATGCCTTAAAAGCAGAAAGGCTTAAAAAACATTTTGAATGTTCATTTTATAACATCTTAAAGAAAAAAAAGAATATGCCATAAATGATGATGCATTCAACTCAGTTATTTTAGGTGTGATTTAGACTTTGAAAAAGTGATTTGTAAACATCGTAAGTTTTAGAGGAGAGTGATAAAAAGATCTATATACTCACTAAGCATTTACATAAATAGGAGAGGAAATGGCTAACTGCCTTTAATGATCCCTTTGATAGTCTGATAAAAATGCCCAGACCTGATCCCTGTTTGGTTTGTTTTCAACACAACCTTTTTTAGCATGCATTGCACAAAAGAAGCTTTTCCATTTGTGTAAAACTAGATTAGTTTTTTTTTTATGAGCATGCAACTAACATTATGGTCAGATTACACAACTACCAGTGTGTAATGGAGTGTGTCATAAGCACCGTGCTTATTTAGATAATACATCCATTAACAGGTTTGTTCTCTTATTTTATACATTTCTACAGCAGGCAATGTCTAGAACTGGGGTTCTAGTGAAATTTGCATTCTAAAAGCCATAAAAAAGGGAGGTTTTGCTTTCTTTGTAATGGCTATTTTTTCAAAGTATTTGCTTTTTTCACACTAAAATATAATCTACTACAGTATGTTTGTTGTTTTCTAAATGTCTTTCCAAACATAAGAGCTCCAGCACAAATTCTGAAGGAAATGCAAGTTGGCATGCAGGCTCTAACACATGCTGAAGCCTGAGGCGCTGCAAAGATTGTATCTCCCAATGCATTTTTCTCCAGTCAAATCCTCACAACTAATCCAAGTGGTGCAAGTCATTTTACCCAGGATGAAAAGAAACAGTTACTTTATATGAATAGAAATAAATATAAACATTGTAATGTTTAAAGTTTCTGGACAATAACAAAAACTCTTTTTGACCTCTGTTGCTATCTAATCCCATATTGGCTGTAATTAACTCAATCAAGCATGATTTAAACTTCTTGCTAATGAAAAATTAAATACTTTCTTAATACAGGCTCATTAGGAATGACAGCGGTCAAAGGAGCATGATTACAATGAAAAGCAATAAACAAATACTGAGGGAACAGTGCAGAAAATAGGCCTTTACTATTAGACTTTTCTGAGAGCTTTACACTTCTGACTCATCATTCCCTTGTCTGTCGAATCGTAGTACTCAAAACCTCCTTCCTTGTTAAAAGACTGACATCACCCCCCACACCACCTCTCTATCCCACTCTCTGACATCGTGTTGTTTACCTAATTCAGTCGGCTTGTGGAAAAAAGGCCCTCTTCAGCGACGTACGCCTTCTAACTCAGTCGGTGGTCTGCATAATTACACATGCAGCCATTCTGACACAGTTAATCATGATGGAGGCGTTGCTGATGGGGGTTTATCCACCTTCATTTGCAGGGCTTTAATTAGAGCCATGTTTGTTTTGCAATGATTGCAGAAATTAGCTAACCTCAGCTAACACAGTGCAGACAGAAAAATGTATGAATCGGTATATGTTGAATGAGACTTAGCCACGCTGATCAGCCAATCTCATTGTAAAGTCTCCAAGACTGTAGATGTGTGTGTATGAGGGGCAAAATGCCTTCTCTCTCCCAGATTTATTCCAGTTTATGTAGTCTGCTATAATCCACTTTTGCGTATCTGACTGAAGTGTATTTATTTTGAAGTTATTTATTTATTATTTTGTTTTCTGCAGTTTTTTTCGGTAACTTCGTCTGTGTTATTTCATTTATTGGTTTTAATCTTTGTCACTTTTTTTTTTTTTTTTTTTGATTGCTGATTTTTGGTAAATTCGTTGTTTTCTGTTTGTTTTTGATGTCTTTATTTATTTGCCATTGTGTGTACTCAAGTCATTACTCGATATTGAGTCACACACAAGTTACCATTTTAATAGCTTTCGACCCTGCGTCTTGTTTTGTGTAAAATCACAAAAGAACTCAAATTAGAACATCACACTAAGGACGTGCAACTTCTAGTTACTTGGACTCAAAGGATTTGATTTTGAAGAACTTTATATTCAATAAAATGTTTGCATTAATTTAATCTCACCTGATGCCCTCTGATAGAACCGTCCAATGAGCACAATTCTCCCAGCTGCACACCTCAAGCCGTTTGCCAGTTTATGCTCCTCCTGTTGCTAGGCAGCAGACAGTAGTAAAATTGTCCTGTCATCAAATTGTTGTACGCATAACTGGAAATGTTATGTTAGAAGACTTTCAAAAACATTTTAATAAAGAAGGAAGAAGTAAATGTTTCAGACCAGGTTCCTAATTGCAAACCTGGTGACAGTGATGTAACTGCTCTTTGCAGTTGTATTAAAGTGTTGTTGGGCAGAGCTCTTTAAAGTGGGGGAGCATGAACCATTAATTACAGTTTACATCACCGCACCTTAACCAGCTGTTAAGAACTGTGCCAAACGTAGAAAAAGTGTCCTTGCTTAATTTTTCCATTAATGTGGGATCCTGGAGTAAAAGATGCAAAGACCCATGATGTACAGTAGGAGCTGCGGCTGGTCTATTGGCATTGTGTTTGATGATGTGCCCTACAATAATGCACAGAATACGCAAAGATTGAAAGAAGTTATTGAGGTATGAAGGAATTTTTTTTTGTTTCTATTATAAAACTGAGAAATAATAAATGAATGGATGAATAGAGAATTTTTTAAATATTGCCACATTTCTATTGTGTCAGAAAAGTCATTCAGCTACAGATGACGCATACCGTTTTTTGTTTTTTTTCATGAAGTTTCATAAATAAATTTTATAAATGCAATGCTTTTTGCAACGCTTATGTTTAAGTTCACTGTCACTGTTGTGCTAAAGATCTGAATGCGAATACATTTTGTATTAGGGAGCGGTGCTTTATTTCTAAGACTGTTTCCACATGCACAGACAAAGTGTAATTTTGCACAATCCATCTTATATATTTCCACACAGATTATAGAACACATTTGAAATTGTTTATCAAAAAAATTTTTATTTGAAATGTTTGCTAGGTCTACAAGTATTCTTGAGAGGAAACAAAATTAACTTATGGTAAATGTTGAAACGTCTACAAACAATTCTTTCTTAAAGAAGACAAAGCAACTTATTTATGTTTAATATGACTTGTATGTTTGTTTGTTTTTTGCTTCCAGTTTTAATGATTTGGACCAGAAGGTAACAGGTTCTAAAATAGATTAAAACCTGAAAATAGATTTCCAACTGGCTTTTCAATTGTGTGTTAAGTAGATATTTATGAAAAGTGAAGGTTTTCTACTTATTGGCTGTTAGAGTTAGGGTCATTAAGTCAGTCAAGGTCTATGTAGATTTTTTATTTAGTTATTTGAATACTTTTTTTTTAGTTTAGGGATTGAATTTTACTATATATTTACTATAATGCGTCAAAAGCAGGTCTGTTCTGTTGCAACTGGTTAAAAGGGATATATTTATTTTTGTATATATTTTTTTATACTGTTATCTTTTTGATAAAAGATAAAAGTATAAAACATATTTTTATATGTTCCATATTCTCCCTGTTAAATTTAAAGTTTAGTTCCCTTTACAGATTGTCCTACCAAAGATAAACTTTATTATTTTTTCAATTTGTGCTTATTGGGCTGCAGCAAGGAGGTTCTGGGTTCGAATCCTGGCCTGGGGTCTTTCTGCATGTAGTTTGCATATTCTGCCTGTGCATGTGTGGGTTCTCTCTGGGTACTCTGGCTGCCTCCCACAGTCCAAAACATGACTGTCATGTTAATTGATCTCTAAAATTCTCCTTAGGTGTAAGTTAATTGTTGTTTGTCCTGTTTAAGATTAAGATCACACATCAATAAAAGAGTATAATGCGGTTCATAAATGAAAAGCCTGAATACACTGAATTTGTATTTTTTGAGATGATTTCAAAACATTTTTTAGTATTTGTAGACTTGAGACTTGCTGTTTTATTTATTTATTTTTTTTGTGGGCCAGAACAAGTTCTGACAGGGGTGTGGGTTTCATGTAGATTTAAATTTTGCTTCAAAATATATACTGGTTTTTAAATCTAAAGCCATAGTTTCTGCATCATATGCTGCCCCCCTCATTAAGCTGCTCCCCTCTCCATCTGAGGCAAAACTGTCATATGTGGTAAATATGAAATGCATTGCTGCTGGTGCAACACTCTGGGAATGTCATCACAGAAACAGATTTAAAATTCTGGCAAGCTGACGCTGAAAGGCTCACTCAGCCATGTTTGTTGAGAAGCAGAATGTAAGTGAAGCTCATTTATATGTAAAAGTCCCTCAGTCCAGTTTTAACTTTCCCTGTTATGCTTCGGGGAATCTTCATTTTACCCACAATGTGGTTTAAGGGTTGCAAACAACTCTCTCTCAGCGAGTCCTCTAACTGTTATTTTTATTTTCTACTCATGTCTCCTGTAATTCCAGGACCCCAGAAGCAAGCACAAGTTCAAGATCCACACATACGGCAGCCCCACGTTCTGTGACCACTGTGGATCGCTGCTGTATGGGCTTATTCACCAGGGGATGAAATGTGACAGTGAGTATTACTCCTTGTGGGTGTGTGTGGCTGCACCTGTGTTGAACATCCTGTGCTGGTTTTTTCCTTCAGCTGGTCCAAATGAGAACAGATGGGAATAAGCTGGTGCTGCAGCCCAGACAGAATTCATCGCTCTGCCCCACTGAGACCTCTCTGTGATCACATTCATTCTGCATACTTTCCACTTTTCTCCCCTTTTCTTTGGGTGTCTGTGCTGCTGCCCTCAATTCCTGAACTGAAATTATAGTTTCTCCCATTTACTTTCCTTTTTTGACCTTTGCCATCCATATTAGTCTGATAAAAAATCCTGGATCATCTCCCATAAAGCTGTTGGTTGGTGTTCCACAAGGCTCTTTTGCTGGACTATTGACATTTACACTTTATATCAACAAAGTCCCATCTGTACAGTGCTGTAAAAAAGGTATTATCACAGATATCCTGTTTTTGTTGTTTTATAACAATTAAATGTGTCTGATCTTATAACACATTTTCCTATCAGGGAAAAACAAATTCATGAAAATTTTATATCACTTTAAATTTGTTTGTTTTTAGGTTTTTTTAAACCATTCAAATCAGACTGGCCCTGTTTGACAATAAACAAAATAATAGAATAATTAAAAAAACTATTTTAGATTTTATAATATAACCGACCCAACAACACAGAGTAGGTTAAAATATCTCAAAAGGCAACACACCATTAAAAAAGAAATGTGATGAAATGTAATGATTTTTTAAATGATATTCAACGCCACTCCTCATGTTTTAAGTGTCCTTGCTACCACACATTTTTGACTTCTGCAGCATTGGATATAATGCAGATGAGGATTGACCATTGAATCAGCTGGAGCAAAGACACATCTAAAACATGCAGAGCAGGGCTTCCTGAGGATCTGGGTTTGAACATTAGGTTAATATCCAAAAATAGAAACATCATAGTGGTAACAATTCCAGGACTGACCAGCCTACCAAAACAACCCATGACAACGATTTTTTGTTGTTTTTATATCAGGTAATTATTCTTAATTCCAAAATAACAAAACATTGACATCAGTGACATTGTCGTTGGCATTGGGAGAGTTTCAATGACAAAACCCCTTCTGACTAAAAACAACACAGACGTCTTTTTCACATTAATGAAAAATATCCTAATAATCCCCAGAGTTTATGGGATAATATTTTATAGAAAAAGAGACAAAAATTTCAGGGACTTCAAGAACATCATAAACCACATGGAGATTACAGTTAGATGTTCTCCCGCTACTTTGCTTCTTTAGATCATAAACAATATGCCATATTTAATGGAACGTGATTCCTACTGTCTACCAGAACGCCCTAAGGAACGATGTCCAGTCTTTATCTAATAGATATAAATGCACTTTAGTTATGCCACATTATCTCAACCACAGCAACTAAATTACTTAAAAGAAAAAAAACATAAAGTATATATATATATATTTTTTTGTTTTATCGTTATCTCCCTTTTATCTCCCCTTATGTCTCTTTCTTTAATCTTTTTTTCTGTTTTGCCTTTCCTGTTCTACTTTTTCTGTTCTATACTAAAATCTGTAATACTCCCTGCATTAATTATAATAAAGGTATTTATATGCATAAATCAAGCGGAACACTATTGCGATAGCCGTACTGCTCCACTTGTGAAAGTAAAATCTGATGGGCTCTTTTTGGCATCAAGACAATTATTCTTAATGTGTTAAAAAAAAAAAAATATATATATATATATATATATATAAAGCATGCTGCTTATGTTTATATCATTCAATTTTTTCATACTCTCTGTTTCCATACTTATACTAATTTATTTTATCATTTGCTAAGTACAACATATATATCAGCTTTACCCTTCATGCTGCTTCTCTGCATTGCATTTAAAAATTGAGTTAAATCACTGAGGCTCTGGAAAGTTCAATCTTGAAGAATCTGGAGTTTTGTTCATGTTTTCCTCCCCTTTCTGTCCCTCATCATACTGTACTCTTGTGCCCTGTCCTCTCATCTGTTGCAGCTTTCTCCTCATCCATCACTCTGCCCTTCTCTTCATTATACCCTGTACATCCATCTGGTGGTCTCTGGAGGTTCCCTAATCCAATATGGTGATTAGACCACTCTGGAACAAATTAATCTGAGGTGACCATGGCTATTATGAGCTTCTCAACATCTTCTATCTCCCCTTTTCTTTATCACAGCTTCAAAAATAAACAAGTAGGAAAGAGATCCCCATAAAATGAAAGTACGACGGCATACTAGGGCCAGGCTAGAGATATTTTTATATTTTATTTTGAAAATAAAGTCGTAATATTATGAAAATAAAGTCATAAAATTAAAAGAATAAAGTCGCAACGAGAATAGTCATAAAATTACAAGGATAAAATTATAAATTCGCCAGAATAATATTGTAAAATTACAAGAATAAAGTCATTATGAGAATAGATTCATAACATTAGTAACATTACGACTTTATTCTTGTTATGTTACATTATGAGAATAAAGTCATGTTATTAAGAAAATAAAGTTCTTTTTAATGACAACTTGAAGCAAGAAGCACTTTTTTCCCTAAAATTAGGAAAGTCGAGCATCATGTAAAATTATACTTTGGCATCGGATTGACAAATAAGGAAATCTTTTAGCACACGGCATCAAATTGGGCAGTATGTCAAAGTGGACTCCGGATGTTGTTTGTTTCCGGCAGATCGCAGCTTGAAGCTTTCTTTCTGAAATGGGTTGTGACTTCATTCTCAGTATTTTTCAACTCTATTCTAATAATATTACTACTTTATTTCCGTAATGTTTTGACTTTATTCTTGTAATATTATAACTTTATTCTCGTAATGTTACGACCTTATTCTCGTATTATTACGACTTTATTCTCGGGAATGTTACGACTATATTCTCAGAATGTTACGACTTTATTCTCAGAATGTTACGACTTTATTCTCAGAATGTTGCAACTTTATTCTTGGAAAAAAAAAAAATCTCTAGCCTGGCCCTAAAGCTCTGTTGTAGCAAAGAGATGTGCTTTAAATGTGAAAGAAAATTTTCTTGAATTGTGGCCTTACAGAGTCTTCTGTGTCAAAGCTCTGTGCTATAAAACCTCCCTTTGGGTTCTTTAGGGTACAAATATTGGCAAATGTTGAGAATAACAACCAACTATTTCCCAGCAGTCAGCGCATTTGATCTTGCAGAAGAGTGCAGCAGTGAGCTCACAGTGAGATGATTCCATCACAGTATCTCATAATGCAGAACGTGTGGGAATAACTTCCATCTGTAGCACGAGGAAGGATAAAACATTAACGAGTCTGGGGGATATTTTTAGTCGATAAACTTTTACAGCTGTGAACAGTGAGAGAAAACAAGAAATCTGATGCCCAGCTGATTTTCTAAGTTCGCTCCACGATACTTTAACTTTACTTCAAAGACAAAATATTGCAAAAAAAACCCAACTACTTTTAAATAAACAAGCATTTTCCTGTCAACGTGTGGAATTAGCCTCTGATTCAGTTACATAAGCATTATTTTAATTAGGTTAATGATGCAGTGCTGTATGGGTCTAATGGTCTATATTCATACTGTAAAGACCAGGCTGTAAAACAAAGTTTCATGTTCATCAGGCCACAGATTTATGATCTATTAAAGCTAAAATGGTTTTTGATGTTTCCTAAACCCCTTTAGTGAAGCATCCTACTTCATTTTTCTTTCATAAAAGAAAACCCTGAAGCTATTTTTGTACTTCCTGCTAATAGGCAGAGCTTTCCTTGCTGCATCTTGCAAATTGTATCAACAATATTAAAACCAGACATTGTAAAATAACTAATCTATATCTTTATATGCTCAACTCTTATTTTTTTTTTTTAGAAGATGACTCCATCTATTAACATGAGAAATAAAATTTGAACATTGCACTTGTTATCTCATTATCAAACTCTTCTGTTCAGTTAAAACTCAGTCATCTGTTTTTTCCCTTTGTCCTTCGTATCCTTGTAGCCTGTGACATGAACGTGCACAAGCAGTGTGTAGTCAATGTGCCCAGCCTGTGTGGGACGGATCACACTGAGCGTCGCGGCCGCCTTTTCCTCAAGATCGACGTCAGCGGGGATAGGCTACATGTCACAGGTGGGTTTTAATCTATTTCTGTCAACAAGTCTTTTAAAGAATATCAGACTCTTAGAGACGTTAGCCGGCAGGTCTCAGATATAGTATTTGAAAATATAAAAAGGAATCTCTTTGTTGGTTGTTAATATTGCCTTGGATATTGAATTGTATTTATGTACAATTCAAATATCACATGAACTGAACTTAAAAGAAGTTGCATAAGAATAAGTATTTTGCAAAAGTACAAATTAAGGTATTCAAATCAAATTTTACTTCATATGGACAAAGTACTCATTTTATGTGTATAAACAACAAAGGGCCAATATGTTATCTTTTCACACACATTACCTTGTAATTAATGTGTTTCCAAATTAATGTTGTTGAAAGTTAATAATTCTTTTTGATTGCCATTAAAGGAATAGTACACCCAAAACATGATTAGCCTTCATTTTCTACTCACCACTATGCTGAACAACACTCTGGAGTACTTTTTTGATATCTCAAATGCATCTGGAGATCTGGGAGGCTTCTTGCTGTCTGCTGACATTCAAATAATGGAGGTCTACATGTATGGTGCCCGAGGCAGAAAGGTCCATAAAAGTCCACAAAAAAACGTGTCAATATTCCTCCATACTGCTCGTCCAATGTATTCCAAGTGTCCTGAGTGGGTAGCGTCCATAATTTACTCGAAACGAAGTCATTTAGAATGTTTTTAGAGCATAAACAGTAGTGTATAGGATTTCCTAAAAGCGCGTTCACGAGTCTACGGAAACCGCGGCAGACCAAACCAGACGAAAGTGCGCATTCAGTTTCGGCAAAGAACTCATGCTCTTCCTCAACACTGAAGTCCTCAGACATTTTTCTTTTGTTGTTTCTTTCTTTGCACAGGTAAACAGCACATTTCTTCTTCTACGCTTGCATTATCGGCAGAGCAGACGCTGAATGCGCACTTTCGTCTGGTTTGGTCTCTCGCTGCATTTTATGCCGCTCCCTATGGAATCTTGCACTGACAAATTGAAATAAACAAGCATGTGGTGTCATTGCATGTTTCCGTGCACAGTTGTGCCCTCAGATTTTATTATTTACCCTGCTCAAAAAATTAAGATGATGGAGGGTTAGCATTTTTACAGGGGGGATGATTTTGATTGTTTTTATTTCAGGAGGAATCCATTCCCCCTCATCCCACCCTTCCACTCGACTACTGACTGTAGCTTATTAAAAAGCTTATGTCGTGTCTTTGGCCTATGTCTAAATACACTTTTATAGAATCATCTAGCTTATACTGACGACTTTCCATTAACTCTTTTTCAGGCATTAAATAGGAAATATAACTAATTGATAGTTGCATCCTGGTCAAGTTTTCTGTTATTTTTTTACAGTCACTGGGAAGGCGCCACTGCTTGCTGTTATAGCAATGAAACTGGGCTATGAAACTGGATTTTGAGGGAAACCATACTGCCTTTTAGATTCTCAGATCATTTCCTGTAATGATCATCAGTTGAAGGGCTGTAACAGAGAGAGGGCCTTTCCAAGCATGCTCGTCATGCAAGTGCCTAAATGTATATATCCAGTCAGTTATAGTTTGCTTCATTGGGTTCTATAAATATTAAGATCTAACTTTACAAAAGGGTATACTAAAAATGTGGTACAATGAATGTTATTTTTCAACTGAATACAAAACAATCCAATGAAACATAAATTGATGTGCAAAATAAGTATTTTTTCTCAAAAATAAATGTAGTTAAGCTATTATGGAACGGCAAAAAGCAACCATGTGCCACCTCTCATTTTAACAGACAAAATAAGTCCAAAATAGCAGTCTCAACAAAAGCTGCCATTAAGAGAACTGTAACTAATCAACAGTCCAGTTCGGACAAATAAGAGACTAGAAATCTGAACTTCTACTTAGATATGATATTGCTGTTCCATAGTTCAATGTGCACCCACCTTCAATACCTCATCAGGCCAGATTGAATTAGTGTTCATAATGAGCCAATAAAGCCTAGAATGTGCTTGAAAAGAGTTAGAGGCAACCATAATAGGAAAGATGGGCGGCTTTGTTCCAGGTGTATGAGTCAAAGACACTTTGTAAGATTAAAGGGGCATGCATTTAAAGCCAACACAGGTGAAAATGTGGACAGTAGTAACCCAGCAACTGGTTCCAATGTGCTCATTAAAACATTACGGTATAAATAAAACACAAATAAAAACAAAACAGAAAAGGATTTGGCTCATAAAACAGTAAAACTGTTGTGTCTTTGCAACTGTAAAGAAAAAGGAGGATGTTCTACTCTTCCAACCCTGAGTCCAGCACCTTCTTTGCAAAATAAAACCTTTGCTTTGATGCTGATTAATTCCATTTTATTTGTTTGACTAAAATAGATAACTCTTCATATGTAAGATGAATTTGAATCAACAGAACTACAGTACTTAATCATACTTTTTATTCCTATGACACGTGTTAAATTTTTTTCTGTAATAAATTCCTGAAAATAACCTTGTTACTGGTTTCTAAACTCAATTCCATTTTTATCAGCTTATTAGCAACTTTACTGCTTTAAGAAACGGTTTAAAGCTGTTTCTTATTTCTTTGTTTTTCTTGTGATGCAACCTAACCCAACTAACCCACCTGTTTCTTATTTATTTGTTTCATATTTTTTAAGCTTAACAGCTTAAAAAATATGCATTGTGGTCAGGCTAAAAGATAAGCCAGGGTGGCCTTTTTCCATCTTTTGCATCATAAATGCAATCTTGTGTTTTTTTTCACACCTCTAAATTAACCTGTCAGTCAAGTGCAGCTCCTGCACTGCAGAACCCTCCTGTGTTAAAAACTCCTTTAGGTATAGAGAAAAATGACTGCTGGGTCACTTCAACCACATCTTTGCCATCACACTTACAAACTCACATTTACACACAACAGCATGAAGGAAAACTGGGGGTCGAGGGAATTTATATCAGAAACAAATAATTTCTACCTCCACAAAAAGCACAAGAGAGGAAAAACTAGTTTGTGCGGGAGGAGAGTGACAAATGGGATTGGCATTTAAATCTATTGGTTTTATAAAAATCTGCTTATTGTTGAAATGTGACCGAGCTGAAGCAGTTTTATTTTTTTAACTGCTGCTATGTTAACTCATTTTACTGCTCATCAGTTGTCTTGTTTGCATCCGTGTGCCAATCATCCTGCGGTGTGACAAGGACAAGGAGCAAACACAGCAGTGTGTTAACTGGGATGGCGACCGCGGTGATGTTGTCGACGTGGTTTCCTCAGTAATATTTGGTGGAACTGGTCCAAAATAAAACTAGGCTGGCTTCCAGTTTGCGTTTGAGTGTTCAAAACCAAGATCAATTTCAATTCAAAAATTCTATATTTATCCCAAAGGGAGATACATTGTTGTAGTACTGTAATTCATCTTTTTTTTTTTTTTTTTTTTTGAGCTGCCACGTTGAATTAATATCTTGTTTATTTGTTATATTTCAACTCAAAGCCAGCCGCTGTGTGTAGCGGCACCTTCTACCGATTTTAAATTCGAAAATAAATTGATGGTTAAAGTTTGTGTAATTGAACAGATGATGGGTTTAATATGAAGACTTTACATATTGCAAAAAGGATCTAGAAATAAGTAAAAATGTCTTAAATTAAGTGTATTTTCGCCTTAATTTGAGTATGTAAATGAAATGATTTGTTAACTGAATGAGTATTTTACTAATATTTAAATAAGATAATTAGATATTATGCATGTGAAATAAGTCAATGCATTTGTTTTTTTCTTATTTTGAATGAGATTGTCTTGTTCCATTGGAAAAGTGTCTAACTTTAATCCTCAACTCTAGAAAAAATGTACTTATTTTAAGAAACAATGACTTATTTACATTTCAGTTTTTTTGCAGTGCACAGCTGGAATCATAGAGCATTTTTTTAACAAGGATTTAAAAATACAGAAAAAAGTGAGCTCCACAAATTGTGAACATTTTGAAACCAACCAATGACAAATCCAAAGGAATAAATAGCATTCTAATAAACTAAATTATTGGTCTAAGACCAGATAAAAATCTGTAGAAACCTAAATTTTTTATTTAGATAAAAGTCAGAAAGCAAGTCTGGACTCCCAAATAATAAAATAATTCTTCCATCAATTATCCTTTACTTTTGCTTAAATGTAAAGACTAAATAATGGAATTCATAGAAAAAACTCTTTTATGTTTACAATGTTGCAAAAACAACCTCATTGTATTTTCAATGGACATTTATTTAAAAGACTATTGCAGAGTTAGATAATGATATAGTGATCAATCGGTGAAATAATCCTATGCTTCTGAGAGAAGCATGCTTTGATATTTAGCCACTTTACTATCATGCTGCCTATTGCATTCAGAAATGTCCTGATGTATAGCATCCACCAATGAGTGTGGATAAGATGATTGCTGTCAGGGTTCTTGCGTGTGGGTTAGTGCAAGTTGTGCATCTCTACCATAGAGGATCTTTGTGGAGAACCTGGGTAGCCTACACAGGTGAAAATAATCTTTCCAATCATAGTGCTTGGCTTAAAAGAACATCAGAGCCTTCATTCAGTGCTGGTTTCTTGTGTGTTCTAAAAGTTTGTTTTGTTGCCTTCTAGTATTTAGCTTCTCTCAAGTATTTTCCCTGATGTTATTGGTTATTTGGTTTTCAGTGTTTTTGTATTTTTGCCTCTGTTCCCCTTGAACTTTTATTAAATCATCCAAACTCATCCATGCCAACTCCTGGCTGCATTTGGGTCCTCAAAACCTCGACACAACCTGACAATTGCTGGTTGTCCAGATCTCAAACTTGGGTTTTATGGAGGTTTGGAAAGCAGGAGCCGTAGTTGAAAGGAAGCTTTGCGAGCTCCTAATTGTATGTTTCAACAAATCATATCACTGATACAGTAAACTTGTAAACTTTTTGGTCCAAATGCACAAAGCCATGTGTGACACAATAGAAATCTAATAATTCAACACAACTCTGAATAATCTAGACCAGGAAGCCTGGATTTATGTTT